AATCTGCTTCTGTTATGTTCCCTTCTTTACAATTTTTTTAAGATTTGTCCTTTTTTATTTCTTAGTTTATCAGAGTTCTTTGTGAGCACAATTGCATCATCAGCTGCCTTCCAGTTTTCTTTCTGTTTGCCATTGTTTGTTTTGGGGCCTTAATTATCTCACTGCTTATAATTATGCAACTCTCCTGAACTTCTTTTTTCCCTTCAGAATTTTCATCCATGCAGTACTTCCTACTTTTCTCCTTAGCTTACTGAGGTCAGCTCTTTTCAAATTTAGAATATTAATCTGGCCACCTTCCGTTCTCTCTGTCTGCAGTATGGGCAATTCGAGGATTGCACGATCGCTCTCTTCCAAAGTTCATACTTCCCAGTTTTTCAATCTGTTAATATCTCTCTTCCCCATAAGTATGAAATACCATGTAACCGATCTCCTGCTTCCTTTATTCATCATTATGTACGTATGTATGTATGTATTTATTTAGTCATGTATATATTAGAGGTGGAGACCCTTTGAGAGCTGTATGAAACAAAATTTCATTTTAATGTATGCCGATTAGTGTATATTCAAAGTGACAATAAAGTTATTCTAAGTCTAAGTTCTAAGTTCTAATTCATCGTTTAGAGTCAATGAATTTGTCTGCAAAGCAGAGCAAGGACTTGTTGATTTTCCCACTTGTCATAAGATTTGATTCACAGTTGATATTGGAATAGTTGAAATCTCCCATTGGTTATTTCATTGTTGTGTTTCCTTGACATTTGAGCCATCTGATTTGTGAAGATTTCATCTATATCATTGGCTTGTTGGGTAGCCTGCAGTACACTCACAACAACCTCTTTATTGTTTGTTTTCTCCTTAATATTCATCAAGAGGCTTTTGACAGAGTTTTCATCTTTGATGTCATTAATTTTACAGAGATGTCCTCTTTCTATTTGTTAAAAAAACCTCCACCAAATTATAACCTTCCAGTGCTACATTGCAGTCTCCATCTCATGTGTTTATCATGCTGGGCTCTACCTCTTGGCCTCTTTCAATCTTAAATCCATGCAGGTTCTCCTCGTTCTCTGAGAATGAGTCATCTGCAGAGGTCATGATAGGTAAGAATTGATGCCTCTTTGTGAACACAACTGTGAAAGCAAACTCTATATTATATTGTGATTCCACAACCATCTATGGGGGGGTGTGCTAAAAAAACCAAACTTGATTTTTTTGACTGAGCCTGCCCTATGGGATACTATGCTTGCTTGAGGCTAAGTTACACTTACTTATAAACATAGACTATGTTTTCATGAACTAGGTGTCTAGATAGAAGAGTTGAATTTTAAGCATTTGCACTCTAATTTTCTGCTTTAAGCATCACACTAAGCCACGTTTTGCTTAAGAGTAGTTTGTTGAAAAAGTGATGATTGGCTAGTTTTACATAATATATTCAGCCAAAATTAGACATACAACACACAATATGGATTAACGTAACAATCATTTAGGAATTTAATTTGTCTACTATAACACGCAAGAGTTTCTAGTCTCATTTGATGTTGAGCAATGCGTCTACAGCATTTTACTTCTCATAGGAATTAGCAGTTCATTTAAGGTGCAAGAAGGGAGAGAGATGATTTTGGAAATATTTTTCTAATGTGGCTCCTTAGATTATAATATTATGCCTGCCATTTTGGAGATTTTGAGAGAGAGGGGGAGGGAGGGAGGGAGAGAGAAAGGGAGAATAGATATTGGTACACAATATTGCTCTCACAGTCATGCTCTCATTGTGCATATGTCCCTGCATCCATCATTGGGTTTTAGATCTGCTTCCTTTCCTGAAACCAGGCTCTGACAATGAATAGGGCTAGGGTTAGTGTTAGTGTAGGTTTCAGTTTCATGTGGATATTTTGATCAATTGCAGTTTTCTTCAAACTGGACAACTTTTAAGATGTGTGGACTTTAATTCTTAGAATTCTGGGAGTTGAGGTCCACACATCTTAACATTGCTCAGTTTGAAAAACACTGTTTTATTGCATAACATTCTCATTAATCTTCAACTTGGATAATGACTACCAATAAGGTTGAGGTCAAAATGGGATCACTGTATAACAGGAGGGACGTCCCTGTGTTTCCAAGCGAACTCAGATTTATTGAAATATAAAAACATAAAGGAATTAAATCTATATGGCACCTCTTTCCTAATGAATCCTAAGCACACATTGAGACAAGTTAATCTCCCAATTTATTCTTTTTCCAGTTACCCCAGAATGAATTTTCCAAGTCATTTTATCTAAATTATTTTAATGACAGGGTGTGATTTTGGGACTTTCCAGAGCCAATTAATATGATATACTCAGTTAAGATGTTTTGGCTACTTACAAAAATTTATTCTGCACATGCTTGGAGGCTGTTTTCATATGCACTAGCACTAATGATGTTTCACTACTGAAGCTTAATGCAAATTACACCTTATCATGCTGTGTGAACACAGCTGTTATGTTGTTACCAATTGCGTAATCTATGAAAGTTAAAAAAGAAAAAGAAAATCTGAGTCTCAAATTTCCCATTTATTTTCCTACAGGATTATTTTTACTTATGCTACTTTAGACATTGAAGCTGTTCAGTAGTTGGTTGGTTTGGGATGAATATTCTGAAAATATTTAGAAATTGCACCTATTACATAAGTAATAGAAAATTTACGTGTCTAGGAACTTTATTAGTATTGTGTAAAGGAGCACTTTGGATAAGTAAACTCTTGAAATCTTTAAAGCACTTTTACTCTCGGTCTACAAGGATGTCTTTAGATCAGCATGATTTCAGTTACAGCTTTAAAAAAGCAAAACTTAGAAAATTCCAAGTCATATTTTTCTTGTACTGTGGATTTTTTTTTACTAAAGTTTTTTATTTTTTCATTTTCATAACATATAATCACATGTATACTCATACACAACCAATATCATATTGTATTATTAAATGTTTACATCAATTCATCTTAACAACAACTCCCAAAAACCAATTATTGGCTCTTCTGCTCCCCATACATCATATTTGTACTTTATCCATCACTTCCTTCTTCCTCTCTCCTCCTCCTCCTCCCTCCCACTTTTCTTCCCTCTGTCGTCCTTCCCTTCTCTACTTCCCCTTCCTCTCCCCTTCTCCTCTCTCCCCTTTCCACTCCTCCTTTCTCTCCTCCTCTCCCCACCTGCCCTCTCTCCTATCCTTCTCTTATTCCCTTATCTTTCTCCTCTCCTTCCCACTCGTCATTTCATTTACTTGGTGTATTTCAGCTCCTGAGCGAACTCCATTTTATGTTGATGGTAATTATAATTCCTTTTTGATATACATATTTAATTTTTCTGCTCCTTTTTAGTAAAAAAACCCAATATAATAGAAAAGTATACATATAAAGTTATTGTGCTTTTAAATGTACTGTGAATTTTAAGGGTTTAAATATCCTATTTTTGTGGCCAATAAGAACTACTCACAGACAGCTGTAATACTTACAATCAATACAACAACATTTATAAAAAATTCAGATGTTTCTTTGTATTGGAAGATCGTTTGATAT